AGTTGAAAGGCATTACTGTTAGAAACCTGAGGCTTGAATTCTGACTGTCGGAGAACCTGGAGGAACTTTACTGCGCCCCTGCCCCCAAGCCTGGAAACTAGTGAAGATTAGGGGAATAATATATGTGCCTGGCACATTATCCAATAACTGATGTGAAAATAATGCCTAGTTTCGTAGGGAGTGGACTGGATAGGTGGGAAGGCTTCCCAAAGGGGACAGTAGAGTCCTTGTGCAAACATCTCTTGTTACTGGGTTTCACTTTAGCCTTGCCAGTGAAAGAATTCAGACAGGACACAAAGAGAACAGTGTCATTGAAAGTGGGTGGTGCTTATTCCAGAACAGAGCTGAGCACACTCTCATGGGTGAGGGCGGATGAAGGCAGAGGGATCACAGAACAACTCTGCATTTAAGTGCCCCCCCCCGCAACTCACTGTCTCTGTAGCCTCTAGAACAAGCAGCTTTTATTGAAGGATGCTTTGGGTTCAGGTGACTGACAGGCCTATCTGGACACATGTGGTGACTGTATGTAAAGATGTAAAGTCCTTCTGTCTGTCCATGTCCCACCCACCTCCATCCCCACATCCCCTTCCCACCTCTCCCCACTAGCCAGTAATCCTGTAAGATTTAGTTAGGACTTCTAGATAGTAATGACCTTCTGGGCACTTAAGAATGTCAGTCTCCATCCAGGACTAGGGATCTGACCCTTGGCCCATTCCTCTGACCAGTAATTTGAGTCACGTGACTCCAGGATTTACAGGCTGTTGGTTGTGAGGTTGGGGTCCAGGCTGTGTCTTTAAAGCCTGCTAGGATTTAACTGGCCACCTAGCATTGTGCAGAGCTGGGTTCTGGTCACTGTGAAGTCACAAGTTTCAGTCCCTTGGGTAGTTTAAATATGACTTTTGGGACACAGATATCATTTAGAGAAGTTTTGGGGTATTGTGAAGGGAGATGACTTAGTAGGTCAAATTCTTGCCATTTAAGTCAGGCAGACTGGATTCAACCCCTTGACTCCGTGTAAAGATGGAAGGAGTGAACTGAGACTACAAAGTTGTTCTCTGACTTCTACATGTGTGTGCATGTACATCCACAGTGTGTGCATGTGTGTGTGTGTGTGTGTATGTGTGTGTGTGGTGTGTAAGCAGTGTGGTGGTGGGTGCCTGTTCCAGTGGCAGGTGTGAGAGGAGCATACCCAGTGTCAGGCTCCATTGTCCTCTACCTCAGTCTCGTTAGAGAGTCTCTCACTGAACCTGGAGCTAGGCTGGCAGCCAGCAAGCCCCAATGATCCTCCGGTCTCCTACTTCCCCCCCAGCACAGGAATTAAAGGTACACTGGAAACCACACCTGACTTTTTACATCATTTCTGGAGATTTGAACGAGGATCTTCATGCTTGCATGGCCAACACTCTTCCATGCTGAGTCATCTTCCCAGTCCTACTGTGTGTGTGTGTGCACACATGTGTATGAGGGTGCACATGTATGTATAGATACATGTTCATGTGAGTACTTGTGCATGTGAAGATGAAAGGACAGCTTCAATTTTTGATCCTCATGTGCCAACCCCTTTGCTTTTTGAGGCAATTTCTTTCATCGGTGTGAAGCTAGACCAATAGTCTAGATTGGCTAGCCGACAGACTGCAGGGCTATCTTGGCTTCACCTCCCCAGGGCTGAGGTGACCATTAGATACCTCCACATCCAACTTAGTTATTATTATCATTATTGCTTTTTTTTGATGTGAATTCTGAGGGTGGAACTCAGGTCTTCGTGCTTGCAAGGCAAATGCCTTACCAGCTAAGCTAGCACTTCTGCCTGCTCAGGTCCCATTTTAAAATCCTGATCTTCCCACCAGGCTGGTCTGCTGCATGGAGTTCTCAAGGGAGGCCTTTGGCAAACTTGAGGGGGAATCCCCAAGAGAGGACAGCATCTAGGAGACATGCCAGACCACTAGTGGGCGTGGCGGTTTCCTCTCAAGGGTGGGAGATCTCTAGAGTAACTCAGGAGCCAGGAAATTTCCAGAAAGAGAAGAGGAGGTGGAGAGGAGGCAGTGAGTGAGAGAATAACAGCTGAGCACCCTTCAGGTCAGGAGGAGCATTGGGGATGATGGTGTCAGGAAGAGAGAAGGCAAGGAAGCCTTTGAGAGGCTGACTGCTCAGTGCTAGGAAAGTCAAGCTACGGAGTTGGAAAAACATACGAGTTGAAGGTATAAAGAAATGAAGAGGGTAAATAACATTTGTGGAGCTAATTATCATTCATTTATTCAGTAAATTCTGTGTGCCCGATAAATGCCAAGCAGGCTTTGGTGCTGAGGACAGAACAAAGCACAGAAGAATCCTTCTTTCCAGTGGAGCTTATGGCTTAGGAGAAAAGAGATTTTGTTTTTCAAATTCTGTGTGTGCATGTTTATATTTGAGCACAGATGCACACATGCTACTCGTGTGGGTCAGAGGGCAACCTGGGGCATCAGTCCCTGCCTTCTGCCTTACTTGAGACAGTGCCTCTTGGTTGTTTATTGCTGTGTCTATGGGGATGGTTGGTCCTTGATCTTCCAGGGATTTTCCTTGGTTACCTTCCATCTCACAGTAGGAGTGCTGGGATTATAGATGCATGTTACTGAACCTACTTTTTAGAAAACATGAGCTCTGAGGATTCTAACTCAGGTCCTTTTGCTTGTGCAGTGAGTGTATTGCCCACGGAGCCATCCCCCAGTCCAGAGAATGAGTTGCTCTGATGAATATATTTATGAAGAGGTAGGTATCTACATCTGGATCATATCTCAGGCTGTACTCAAAAGTTGATCCTACGTGTACCAGAATCTAAATGAAAGCACCATTATGGAAGTCTTAGAAACATTGAGCCTGATAGTTCACACCAACAATTGCATCACTCAGTGGGAAGAGGCAGAAAGATCACAGGTTCAAAGCCATCCTGGGCTATACAGTGAGGTTCTGGCTCAAAAAGGCAACTGACAACAAACAAAGCAAACACCCTTAGAAGAAAACATAGGTTTTGGCTGTTGGACTTGGCAATAGATTCGTAACTATCACACTAGAAGCCCCAATAAATGAAAAACTAGAGAGATCTGTTTGCCTACATCAAGGAAAAACCATCCGTGCTTCTTATGTTCTACCAAGAAAGTGGAAAGACACGTCATTTTTTTTCTGTAAACTTAAAATTGAAATAAAAGTGTATTAATTAAAAAGACCTCCCACAAAATAGAAAACAATTCTGCAAATTATATATCTGTTTTGGGCTTGTTTTTAAAATACATAAATAACTTCTTTAAAATGGGAAAAAGGATGGAAATAGACATGTCTCAAAGGAAGATATACACATGGCTAATAAACATGAGAGATGCTCAACTTCATTAATCCCCAGGGAGATACCAATGAAAGCCACAAGGAGGTACCATCCTCACTAGCATGCGATGCTTCTGTGAACAGAAAATAGCAACAGTAGATGGGGCCTGTGGAGGAACTGGAACTTCCACACTGTGCTGGTGGGGATGTAAGATGGTCCAGCCACCTTGAAAAAATTTCCTATCAGTTCCTGTCAGGAGCCATCATAGGAAAAGCTAATAACTAGCAGGTGATCTTCTTGAGATGACTTCACTTTGGATTAAAAACCTGCGACAGACTCTGGTAAGCAAGGCCCATGAGAAAATCATTTTAGGAAAGATTCCTCCTATTAATATGCATCTCCTGTTATCATTAAACATATATAACAATCACTAGGTATTAACCTACCCTTTTGAGCAGATCTCTGTAGGACTACGAAGATGTACTGTCTTGTAGTGATGCTATACAGACTCCTATTCTGAAAGATGTGTAAGTGCTGAGGACAGAGATGATCATTCTGCTTTTCCCCTTTGTCCTAGAGAGTTTTCATAGGAAACGTTTTATAACTTAGAAATAAATGCTAAGTTCAGTTTTCACAGTGTCCCTTTTTCTTCCAGCAACTTCAACTAGCAGGTTGAAAGTTAGAGCCACACAGTTCCTGCTGAGATAGAACAAAAGTTACTTTACTTAACCCCCACCCCCACCCCACTGTTAGGCTACAGGTGTTAATTGCCTAAGCCAATGGCTTTTAACCCTCAGAATTAGCAGGAAAGTTCCTAGGGGGTTTTAGAAGTTGTCATCAGCATTCAGTATAGTAGTTAGAGAGCTAGAACATCTGGAGACCATCAGATGTTTAAAGCCACACAAGAGTCCTACTCTGTGTCTCATTTGAACCCACTCCAGGCTGGGAGGTTCCCAGCAATTCTACTCTTAGGTGTGACTCCAGGGAGAAATGGAAACATACCCTCATAAAGGTGTGCGTGCAGATACTGCATGATACAAGGGGAGTTAGTCACAACTGCATGATACAGTGCAAGCAGCTAGTCACAATGACAAACTGTGGGAATAACCTCATTTCCCATCAAGGGATGAATGGATAAACAAAAAGAGATGGAATATTTTGTTGCTGTTGTTCATCAAGAGGAATGAAGTTCTGATACGTATTACAGAATCAGTGGATCTTGAGGGAAACCAGTTATAATGTTATAGTATTAATATGCCTCCCAGTGTGAAATAGCTCCAAGAACTTACAGATTAATAAAGGACAAATAGCACACTTTTTAATTAGGGTTTCATTGCTGTGAAGAGACACCATGACCACGGCCACTCTTATAAAGGGAAACATTTAGTTGGGGCTGGCTTATAGTTTTAGAGATTCAGTCCATTATCGTCATGGCAGGAAGCATGCTGGCATGGGGAAGAAGCTGAGAGTTCTACATCTGGATCTGTAAGGAAGAGACAGTGACACTGGCAACCCTTGAGCATCTGAGACCTCCAAGCCTATCCCCTAGTGACACACCTCCTCCAGCAAAGCCACCGACAAGGCAACACCTCCTAATAGTGTCATTCCCTATTGACCTACGGGGGACATTTTTTTTTTCAAACCACACAACACACATTTGGTTCTGGCTAATGCACAAAAGTGAACCAGCTTTCCCTTTTGACAGTGTAACAACATTGTCACAGTGTTGGACAGTAAAGCCATGCCAGGAAGCTTGGAAGGTAGAGTGGGTTGAGACCCAGAGACTCGGTGGGCACACACCTGAGGCTTAGGCAACTCCCCTCTCCCTGCCAGATTCCTGGCCTGGAACATGTTCCATACTCCTCACATAAAAGAAACATGTCCTATGGTCACATAGGTCCAGAACAGAGCTCTCCATGCTCATGAGGTACCTAGAGACCCAGAGGGCCTAGCCCATGAGCTTCCCTTCCCAGACATTCCTCCCTGCAAAAGGTATTTAATCTCAGATCTACCCTGAGAAGTGGATACGGTACAGTATGCATCCATTTTCCACCACGAACAGCCAATAAACAGTTTAGAACCATGGACTGTCTCTTTCATCAAGATCTGCCAGTGCGAAGCCATGGAGAAGGCATTCGCCTACAGAGCCGCAGCTTAGTCTCCTGTAGAAGGCCTCTCTGCGCTCGCAGGCACACAAGCTAAGGACAGTCACTGCTGGGACAGCCAGAGCTCCCTTTTCCCCAGGCCCTGGGCTGATACTGTCCCCAGCCCTCAGCCCCCAATTCTGTTCTTGGTTCTTCCTAGTGACTCCCAGTGGTGCCTGGATGTCCCGTATCTCAGACTGGGCTTTCCCACCCCAGAAGCGGTGTCTTGGTGTTTCCCTATAGGCCCAGCAATGAGCATAGTCAAACTTTCTGGGTTCTGCCTCCCCAAGAGGCTGTGCCCAGCAACAGGGCAGATGCGGATCCATTTTACGGTTTTCCAGGTCCAGCCCTTCATAGATGGGCCATGCTGCTTCTTCCGGGCTGTTGTTAACTAGGGCCATCCTGCTTGTGAGGCAGAATTGTGCTCTTCCTGATAAGAGAACCCAGTGGCACCTCTTTAGCTAAATTCTACTTGGTGTGACTTAATATTTCCTAAGTAACTTTAGTATATCCTTCATGACGTCAGCTTGTTACTCCTAGTCTCTCCTATACCGCCTAAATCATATCACATGCTCCATTTGTGTGAAATATCTAGAATATAAATCATATCACATGTCTCCATTTGTGTGAAATATCTAGAATATAAATCATATCACATGTCTCCATCTGTGTGAAATATCTAGAATGAGCGACTACACAAAGATGGAGAAGGAGTTGCTTGGGACTGATGGGGAACAGCAAGTGCTTTTGGGACCCATGGGAGTGACCGCCCAAGGTGTGTGTTTTGGTGGTGATGAACATAATGTTAGCCTGACAGTACTGGTTGAATATCCCTGGGCACACACAGCTTTTTGTTTTTTGTTTTTTTGTTTTTTTGTTTTTTCGTTTTTTTGGTTTTTTTTTCGAGACAGGGTTTCTCTGTGTAGCCCCGGCTGTCCTGGAACTCACTCTGTAGACCAGGCTAGCCTTGAACTCTCAAACTCAGAAATCTGCCTGCCTCTGCCTCCCAAGTGCTGGGATTAAAGGCGTGCACCACCACCGCCCAGCCCCCTGGGCACACACGAAACCCGCTGAATCCACAACACATACTTGAAGCGGGAAGATTGTATGACATATGGATTACATATCAACAAAGCTATTAAAAATTAGACAGGCACAGTGTAATACCAACATCTGGGAGGCTGAGACAGGAGGAGTGTCATGAATTATAGATAAGTTTATGCTAGGTAATGGTAAGTCTGATGAAGAATTAGTATACGGGGCTAATTAGAGGACGGCTAAAGAACATCTCCCCACAGAGATGACACTTAGGTGGAGACCAGGAAGAAGAGAGGCTGTGAGTGATCGGAATAGTTACACGTCATGCAATGACACCTTGGATAACAACACACTGTACAGAACAGAAGTCCCTTAAGACTATGACACAGCTGAGACTGCCCTGTTGCCTAGCTGCTTGCTGTCAGGCTGGAACATGATGCATTACTCACAGGTCTGTAGGGATACTGGTGTAAAACCTCCTCAGCTCAGAACAGTGTGAGAGTAAAGTACATCCTGCTGTGCCTAGGGCATAGTACATGACGATGCTAAATGAACAAGTGACTGGCTCTTTTTAGACGTAATTTGTTATTGAATCTTCATGAATTTCACATCACACCCCCCAATCTCACTCACTTCCCAGCCCTTCCATATCCGACCTCTACCCTTGTAACCTCTCTCCTCCTCCCACCCCCAAAATACCTCACCGTGGAAGCTTTGGTGTGCCCCACAGGATACCCTTTTGTCCACATATTTTTCCTTGCCAATGTTCATTGCAGTGAGTCATCGGTCTGGTTCGAGGCCTCTGGTTTCTGCTACACCATTAATACTGGGTCCTCACTGAGACTCCTTTCGGATAGCCTGCTGTTACCCTGACTCATGGAGATCCTGGAGCTTTGCTTCTGCAGGACCGACCTCTCCACATGCTCCAGCTGCTCATAGGTGGGGCAGATGTTTGAGTGAGCCAGCTTGAAGCCCTAGATCTGGGCCTGGGCGGTAGTTGAGTTGGTCAGCTCAGCAGCTCTCTCACACCCATGCCACCCAGGCCAGCTCTCCCACACCCACGCCACCCAGGCCAGCTCTCTGGCACCCTTTTTTATGTGCTATACTTTGACATTTACTAAAGAGGAAGAGCCCTCTACTGGTTAAAATGAAATGGGTTGCTGGGGCTGGGGAGATGGTGTAGTTGGTAAAGAACTTGCCACATAACTGTGAGGACCTGAGTTCGATGCCCAGAATCCATGCAAAAATCCCAGGGCTGGTACACGATTGTGAGTCCAGCAGTGGGGAGGTGGAGACAGGCAGATCCCTGGGGCTTGTTGGATACTCAGCCTGGCCTAATAATCTAGCCCCAGGTCCCATCAAGAGATCCAGTCTCAAAGCAAAAACAAAAACAAACAAACAAACAAACAAACAAAACCAAAAACAATCCAAAAAAACAAAAACCCAGGGTGGGTGGCCTAGGGATATAGTTCATGGGGTAAAAGTGCTTTTTGTGGTATTTGGGGGCTCTAAGCCCCAATCAATAGAACTCATGTAAAAGCCCAACATGGAGTGTGAACATCTGTAATCCAGGAGCTCCTGGAGAAAGCCTTGAGGTTAAGAAAGGAAAAGCCCAGGAGGCTTGCTGACCAACTAGCCTGGTGTACACAGCAGAAAAAGAACACTGACCCTAAATCAGATAGAAGGTGAGGACCAACACCCAAGGGTGTCCTATGACTTCCATATGTGTGCATGCTTACATCCACACACATAAATGTATATATGCATACACATATACATCATATACATATGCATATACATATACATATACATAGTGCATACACAGATCAGTACAAAATGAACTTATAGTAACAACAACAACAGCAACAGCAACAGCAAATGACTCGTGAGGAACTACACCCAAGGTTGTTCTCTGGCCTCCATATACATGTGTACTTGCATCCATAAATAAATACCAACACACACACACACACACACACACACACACACACACACAGATCACATACAACACTTACAATAAACAACATGTGGTTTTGCAGGCAGCATCCTCAGACAGCTTGTGTTTACCATGTCTCAATGGCTTTGTTGTTCTAGTATCTCATCCGATCTCCTGGTGCTTTGCACTCAGGGCCCTAGGAGCAGAAGGCTACATGGTGTGTGTGATGTGGACACACACTGTGTTGCTGATGTGTGCAGTACTGTAACTGTTGGTGTGAGTATGTTCACACAGCAATGCCACATAATGACACATGTCTCAGGATGCAACTTTTATGTCCTGAGTGGTTTATCTTAGAGCACTGTGTGATCATATTCAAGGAAGAAGGAAAGAATGGTCTAGCCTGGAAAACCAGGTGTGAAGATTCGGAGGTGGCACAGAGCTTTCCAGAAGGCAGGTGTGACTGACTGAGCTGAGTGAGCAGGGGAGGAATGGAGGCTGCAGGGTCTCCGGTAGGTACCAACAGGGTGGGCTCGGGGTGAGAGCGATGTGGGTGGGTGAGTTGAGATTGTTTTGCCTGGGGGATGAGCAGCTCTGGGAGTCTGAAGGAAGCAAACAACATACATGCACTTAGGGGCTGAAAGCATCTCTCTGGTTGTGGGTGGAGAATTGTCCACAGGGGCTTGGTGTGAGTGGTGTGCTGTTTTCACAGCTCTCTGGGTTGGGAGGCTCTAGGCTGTAATGTTTTCTCATTCCTGGAGCCTAGATGGTTCCACCCTGGCCAATTTCAAACTACCAACAGTTTGACAACCAGCTCTAAAAATCTGGAAGTGGAAGTGGTGATCTCTGGGGACCCACTGTGAGTCACAGCCAAGGAGACTGGAGTGGAAGGTGAGTTCTGTGTGTCTAGGGCTGTCGTAGAGGAGAGAAAACAGCATTAGACTATGGGGAAATTGTTTTTTATTTTCTTTTAAAAAATATCTCTATCTCTGTCTCTGTCTCTATCTCTGTTTCTATCTCTCTATATGTGTATGTGTGTACACATGTCTGTATATATGACTTTGGTCACATGCACTCCATGGATTGCGTGTGGCAGTCAGAGGACAACTTTGGATGTCGTTCTTTTTTGCACCATGCCTGAGACAGTCTCTCTCTTTTTGCCGAGGCATATGCCAGGCTAGCTGGCCTTTGAGCTTCAGTGATTGTAGATGTATAGCCTTTGGCATTATGTGGATTCTGGGATCTGAACTCAGGTCCTCACATTTGAGTGACAAGTTCCTTCTCCACTGAGCCATCTCTTCAGCTCAGAGGCGGGGAGAGTTAAAGCTGCCTTCTGTTGTGAACAAGGGCAAGTGGGTTTTGCACTTCATGTCCTTTAATCCCCAAGTCAACTCAGGGAACTAACACTTAGCCCTTAGAGCACTTCCATGCAAAGCAGAAAGAGGAAGCCCTTCTGCTGGGAGTCAGCAGCCAGCGTATCAGTCCTGAGGCAGAGCTGGTGACCAGATTGTAGTGACTCCCTCTTCACAGGTGTGGACTGACAAACCATCTGGTTAAGCAATCTGTCTGAATGGAAAAGGTGGAATTTGAAACCATGGTGCTCCATCTGAAAGTCTTGAGTAGTTCTCTCTCTCTCTCTCTCTCTCTCTCTCTCTC